GTCTGTACCAACAATGTTGGGGTACACTTAAATAAGAGACTGATTGAATTATGCTTCCTTATGAAGGACCACACTATGGTAACAAAATGGGAAAAATCTGACAGGGGTGGGAGTTTTGGGGAGAGTCCCATCCTATACAAAAGTGTATCACATAATTCAAAATTAAAATATTAAAAAAAAGAAAACGATGCTACTGTATGATCTATGAGTCAGTGAAGAATTTGATCAGAAGAGGTATTTTGAAGAGATGAAATTAACAAAAAGAAAAATAATCAAAATCCATGAGATACTTTCCGCTGATCTTTGTTGGTGAAATGTGTCTCCTGTAGGCAACAAATGGATGGGCTTTGTTTTTTAATCAAGTCTATCAATCTATGATGTTTGTTTGATGAGTTTAAGCTGTTTGCATTCAGGATTAATACAAATAGGTGATAATTTGGTTCTGTCATTTTTGCAACCAATTGTTCATTGATTTAGTCTTCTATTGTTATTTTACTGGGATGTTCTTCACATTTGTCTTTGGTTTTGGTGGGTGCTATTCCTCTTCTCTGTCAAGAGAACATCTTGAAGTATCATTTGTAGGGCAGGTTTGGAAAAGACATACTCTTTTAACTTTTCTTTACTGTGGAAGAATTTTATTTAATTTTCAAAGACAAAGGAAAGTTTTGCTGGATACGTTATCCTGGGCCGACAATTGTTTGCTTTTAGAATCTGGAATATGTTGCTCTATTCTCTTCTGACCTGTTGAGTTTCTGTGAGAGATCTCCTGTGAGTTTAATTGGCATTCCTTTATATGTCAGTTGATTTTTTGGTGGTGCTGACCTTACCAGAACTTGTTGGCCGTTAGGCCTGAGGGCCACACAGACCTATTTTGAACTGTACAATGTCATAGTCCGTATTATTTTCCTGAGGGACCAGTGCAATGCACTGAGCTCAGTGAGTTCTCACCAAGCTCAGCACATGCACAGCTCATTGTTGTTCCTGCAGTCTTAAATGCTTTGCCACACTGTAAGAAATGGCGCCTGACGTGCCACTACTAGAGTTCTTGATCTGCTGGCTGCCAGGTCTGAGGGCTACCCGACCTATCTTGGGTGGAGCCTGTCAGATGCTACATTGTTGCACTTCACTGAGCCAGAAATGAGTTCACTCCCAGCTCAGTGCATGCGCAGTCCTGCCCCATAGCCCTTGCCTCCTTAAACGAAATGGCACCTAATTCGGTTCTAGGAGGGCTGTGAAATCCACCCTGTTCCTGCACTGCCCATCTAGGATCTGCTGCTCTGTCTCTGCTCCTGGTCAAATCAAACAGACCAGCAGGATGGACAATTCTTTGTCTGGGTCCATCGCCTGAGCTCCCGGGTAATGTCCCTTCCCACCTTGTTGCTGGTGGAGTCCAGTTGCCAGTGGAGTTCAGATTGCTGTTTGCTGAATGCCGCTGGGGTATCGGTCACTGCAACACCACACCGCTGTGTCCGCTGCTTTCCTGTGTCTGTCAGTCTCTGGGTACCCCTCTGCTGTCCTTCTGTTGTCTCCCACTTGCTGGAATGTGCTCTCCCTTCTTCACACTGCCTAACTAACATTCCTCTGTCTGTTTAAACATGTCCTTACCCTATTCCACCACCTTGAGTTTCCTAATCTATATATATTTGAGAATCTTCAATGATCAGCCAGTGATTTCTAGCTGAGGGCAGAGACGCCTGCAACATCTGGCTCTGTAACTGAGGGAACACCACTTTCCACACCAGAGTTGCTCTGTTTGTAGTAAATGGGTGAGACTGGATGATACCTTAGGGTCTCCCTAGGTCTAAGCTTCAGCAATGCTTCTCTCTCACTCTCACGTCTCATCAGTTAACCTGTCAAGCTAGTCATTGTAAGGTATTATAAACAAGTCTTGGCAAACCCGCCACCTAAACAACTTAAAGACCATCCCCTTTGCCCCATTCCCCATCATCAGGGCCACCATCCCCACTTGTCTAAATTTTGAGCTAAGGTGGGCATCGCGAACTGGTAACCAAGTCACCCCTTGGAACACCCACGCCCTATATTGCAGTAGCTGATCTAAGTTGTAGCTCCCTGCTAATGCACCCCCAGGGAGGCTGCAGACAATGGCTCAAGCCACTGGGTCCCTGCAAGTCACAGGGGAGCCCTGAATGGAATCCCTGGTTCTTGCTTTCAGCCTAGACCAGCCCTGGCTGTTGGGGGCATTTGGGGAGTAAGTCAACAGAAGAGGTTTTTCCATTTCTCTCTCCCCTCTCTCTCTCTCTGGCTTTAAAATAGAGAAATATTTGTAAAACATAAATATCTTTGATGGAGTGCCCAGGGTTGAGTTTGGTAAGCTCTAACTAATTACATTTGCAATAGGGTGGCTAATGAGACCCAACATACAATTTGTCCAGGAGGGAAGTATTTAAGAGAGTGGACCACCTACCAGCTAACATCGCTAAAAATGTGCTTTGGGAAACTCTTCCAGGAAATGCTTCTTGCAGGACATTAAGTGCGAAAGTCAGGACACCACTGGGTACCCCCCAGTCTGAGAGACCTAGGTTCGAGCTTCCTGCACCCTTGGAAGGCAGGGGACAACAGTTCCAGTACCTGACCCCGCCACCCACCTGGGAGACCAGGGCTGTTTTCCATTCCTGGGGATTTGGGGAAATGAGCTAAATGGCAGGTCTCTGTCTCTCAAATTTAAATTAGTTAATTAACCAACTAGTTAAAAGTAGTGTTTGTATGGAACATCATCATTTATAAGGCAATTTTAGGTGCTTTGATTTGATTTTGTTTTCAAAGCCACGCGTAGTAGGTCTTCATCAGCAGCTACATGATCATTCATGGATACCAGCACTGAGTGAACCTAAGGACCTTGTTCAAGTTCACACCCTTTGTGGGGGCTAGATTTAGACTCTCCAACTCCTCGGTTCTTATTCTCTCACCTACCCTGTGCCGCCTCCTCAAAAAGTACTTATCACCAAACTATTAATATTTTATTTTTGCTTGAAAGTCAGCATTAACAGAGAGGAGAGACAGGAAGTTGTCCCATCCACTGGTTCGCCCCCCACCCCTGTGGCCACAGTGGCCAGAGCTGGGGTGCTCCAAAGCCAGGAGCCAGGAGCCTCTTCCAGGTCTCAGGGACTTGAGAATTTGGGCTGTCTTCTGTTGCTTTCCCAGGCACATTGGCAGGGAGCAGGATCAGAAGTGGAGCCACTGAGACTCGAACCAGTGCCCATATGTGAGATGCTGGCACCACAGATGGAAGCTTAAGCAGTGTGCCACAGTGCCAGCCCCCGAAGCATTTTATTAAGGGTGCTTGGTGCATATCTGTTTCCCTGGGGTCACGGACACGTAGACCTCACCACAGAAACTGAGGAAAATGCTTGCATGTGTAAGTGGCAAGCTCGCCTGATTTACATCCATCCCATCTGACTTACATCTCATGCCACGCAGCATGAAATCTTAAAGTTGACAAATAGGACATTTTAGCACCACAACAGATCCTTGGCATTGAGTTGTTGTTGGTCTTTTTCAACAATTGTTGCAAATGTGATTGATTCGCTATTATAAAAGGGCATTACTGTGCGAATACGACTCCTGAAATTAGCTTCAGTTTAGCGAGGGGCCCTGCCAGCTTGACCCCTTAATATCCTTATAATGATGCCATTTACATTCAATGCTTACTCGAGTCACTCACTGCTAGATTTGTTTGGGAGGAGTCCACTCTGGGCAGATGTATTATGTGTCTTAACATACAGAGTTGGTGAACGGGGCACATGCAGGCCTTTCCGAAAGAGGAAAAAAAAATGTTTAATCAAGTATTTGGGAAAATGCATTCATTTCCAACTTCCTACAGTGAGACTGCATTACTGCTAATTACAATGTATTCCAGAAATGCCATACTTCATGCCGGCTCCACAAGGCATTCTGTGGCGTGGAGGACGTGAGGGATGGGAATGCTTTGATCCTGCGCAACTTCGGCTTGTAATTGAACTGGCAAATTGGTGCGGGGTGCGGATTAGCGAGGTGGGATCTGTGCGTGGAAACTGGAGCCAGGCTGGACCACATTCAAATCCCAGCACCTGGAACCCTGTTGGGACTTAAAAACAAACAAGGGAGCGGTTCCTGTGTTTGTGCCAGTTTCACGTCCACATGCTTTCCTGAAGCAGCCCTAACAGCAGCAGACAGACCCAGTCTGTTCCTGTCATCATTACGCCACCCTCTGCGCTGTACCGTCATTGACCACAGGCGTCTGCCGTCACTTCTTTGTTGGCAGAACTGTGCCTGTCGCTGACCCTGGACACGGCAGCAGCTTGCACAATGACGCATGTGATGAGGAGGGGGGGGGGGTCAGGCCAGCAGTGTGGACTGCCAAGGAAGGCCCTGGAGAAGCATGTGATCTGCCTCTGCTATGGGCAAATAGCACATCATAGTAGATGCTCACTAAATGCTTGCCACAAGAATGCATGGATGGTGCTTGGCTGTCTGGGAGCCGACAGGGACAAAACCAATAGAGGCTGCTTCTGAAGGTCCCTTCGTGTTTGCTGCACGGTGATGTTCAGCTAGAAGGTGTCATGGCCAGCTGGGAGCTGCGAACTCCCTTTGAAAATGGCTGTTGGGGTGATGCTTGCTGGCCAGCCAAGCATGAGGCTGAGAGAGGCCCTGGCTGGGGCCAGCCTGCCCACTTCTCGCCTGCCCCCCCACCACTCTCTCCTGCTGGGTATCCCGTCTGCCCTCACTTTCTCAATGGTGGCATTGCACTGGGCACCTTGGATGTGACACATTAAAGACAGGAAAACCAAAATCACCAGAAAGCCTCAAGGGCGGGGGGCGCTGGGGTTAGACTGGTCTGGGAATCTGTGCCTTAGGAAAGGATCCCAATCGCTGGGCAGAAAGGTGCAGGTACAGATGCAAAGCTGCAGGGGCACCAGCTCTGGGGGGTCGGGGTGCGGCTGTGCGGGGTAGGTGAGCGGGGCTTTCTCACCCCTCACCTCTCGGGCTCTTGTTCTAAACAGGTGTGGGCAACCGGTCTCAACATCTCCTACAGCGACCAGCTGGCCCTGACACAGCTCGCCTTGTACCTGACCAATGGCCGCCTGAATTGTGAGCTGAGCACCCTTGAGGTGCCCCGCTTAGCACCCAAGAAGGAGAAGAGGAGGTTCCTTCGCAACCTGCCAGTGCTGGTAAACGGCAGCCTCGGGGGTTCCCAGGGTTCACTTGCAGTCGTCTGCACAGCCGCTATGTGTGTGCGCATGTACGTGTGTGCGCATGCGCGTGTGCATGCCCCAGGCCCACCTCCTCCCAGACCTGTGGGAGCTGCGTTCCAGGAATACGCGAGAGTGGATAGAGGACCAGAGATAGCAGTCCTGGGACTGAAAGTCACATGGAGCAAGCATGGAACAGCCTGGGATTTTAAAGTTCCCCAGCGGTGGACCCTCCTCTGCCTTGCTTTTGGCTTTCATAACCTCTCCCTAGTATTTGCTGTTTTATTTATTTTTACTGAAAAGGTGCAGGGGGAGAGAGAGAGAAAAAGAGAGAACCTACTGTTGGTTCACGCCTCCGAACGCACACAGTGGTCAGGCAGGGCTAGGCCAGGCTGAAGCTAGAAGCCCAGAAAACTCAACGGAAGTCTCCTTCCAAGGACATGTGGCTTGACCTCCAATGCATGAACACACGCTGCAGTCCCAGTGAAAAACACATCTGAGTTCGCCCCCACTTCCTTAGGATTGTAGATTGATTCCTGCCATCTTAAGGAAAATCCCGACTTCCCAGCTTGTTTCCTCTGCCCGCAGCCACAGCTTCAATTCTCATAAATTCCTCTACTGTGGTAGCTGGGCTGGGGCCATGCACCAGTCAAGGGGAGCCAAGACCCAGGTTAGGAGGCACAGGTGGCCACAGCATGGGAGGCCATTGAGCTTCCGACCACTGCCCTGACCACTGCCAGGGATCCCTTCTGCCTTGGTTCCGTCCCCCAACAGTGGGCAGAAGACCCTCTTTGCAAATGAAGCTCTCCTTGAAATGCCTCTAGCCCAAGGAAGAACACCTGTGACTAACGGGGCCCCACCCACGTTTCCCAGAGCAGCCGCATCCTGCAGCCTTTCTGCTCCAGGAGCCATGGACTTCGCTCACACCATCTCCCAGCACTCTTCTTGCTAGAAGAGAAGTCCAGGTGGACTGTGGGGCAGGCCAGGCTCTCCCGGTTCTGACACTACCTGTCCTCCCTCGGCACCAAAGCAGCTGAAGTTCAGTGCCAGGGGCAGAGACAGCTTTCCAAGCCAAAGCCTTCCTAGTGAACCAAGCGTCACACCACCAACACAGAGAGGAAGCCAGAGGCTGAGATGGTGTTCAGCACGAGATGAGCAAAGATAATCTGCTGCAATTCTTTAAAGAATATGTTTTAATTGGGAAGTCAGATACAGAGAGGAGGAGACACAGAGAAAGATTTTTCCATCGACTGATTTACTCCCCAAGTGGCTGCAATGACCGGAGCTGAGCCAATCTGAAGCCAGGAGCCAGGAGCTCTTCCAGGTTTCCCACATGGGTTCAAGGTCCCAAGGCTTTGGGCCATCCTCGACTGCTTTCCCAGGCCACAAGCAGGAGGCTGGATGGGAAGCGGGGCTCCTGGGATTAGAATTATGGGATCCATATGGGATCCTGGGATGTGCAAGGTGAGGACTTTAGCCTCTAGGCTACCATGTTGGGATCAGCAATTTTTTAATGGTTTAAAAATTCTAAAAGATTTTGTTAGTAAGTTACAGATCTAGGAGAGATACAGACAGAGATCTTCCATTCATTGGTTCACCCCCAAATAGCTGCAATGGACCAGAGCTGGACCGATCCAAAGCTGGCAGCCAGGAGCTTCTTCTAAGTCTCTCCTGTGGGTTCAGGGGCCCAGGGACTCGAGCCATCCTCCTCTGTCTTCCCAGGTCATAAGCAGGGAACTGTATCAGAAGTGGGGCAGCCAGGATATGAACCGATGCTCACTTAAGATGCCAGCACTACAGGCAGAGGCTTAGCTTGCTGGCTTGCTATGCTACTGCTCCAGCCACAATCCACCACATTGAAGAATGTTGCTGAGAAGGCTGGACGCTGGGCTGCACGTTGCATAGCACCGTGCTCCTGTTTGCCCCGACTTGCCTGTAGGTTTCATTCCTAGCCACAGGCAACACCTGGGCATTTTCCTATAATCTTTGGGAACCACTTCCTGATCTGCAATAACTCAAATGACTCTATGATCACTGAGGGGAAGCGAGGCAGGTTCTAATGCAGAGCTAAACACAAAGTACTTTTGGTTCCAGAAAGACAGATGGAGGCTCTCAACCCGGTGCCCTGGCGAGACGTGTGCAGGCCCGCTCCCCAGCACATTCGCACTCACGCCATAGCCCCCTCTCTTTAAAGGAAGCACGCTTGGAGGGGCACACAGCCCAATTCTCCACCAAGCCAAATGCTCCTGAATGCTGATTCGCATCCAGCTCACCATGAGTCACACGGCAGCTCCTGCTTCGGAGGCTGAGGCAGGAGGCTTGGAGGGAGGCACGCTGATCCTCACGGGGGCCTCGAGCGTGACGGTGACGCTCATGTTGACGTTGATGGCGCGGGCAAGGGCACATTCAGGATGAATACCTCTGCATGCTTTCAGCAGGAGCCAATGCATTTCATAAGCAGCCATGCAAGGAAACCTAGCAATACCACGCTTTCTCTGGACTCCCGGGAGAGCGCAGCTCCAGGTCAGGAACAAGTGGCAGAACCAGTAAGAGCAGGCCTCAAGTCCATCTCCTTCACAAACACCCACGGGAAAACGTAGCCAGGGGCTGAGCAGTCGCAGACACACATGCTTGAGATGTGAAAAGGCAGCTGTACAACTTTTAATTGACGTTGTGTCCAGAATTGGCATAAATCGTGAAACTTCTCTGTCGGCGTTGTCTTGCTCTCTTTCTCCCTCTCTCTCTCTATTGGTGAGTGGCCGAAAGGGAACATCTTTCAAACCTCTTACCTCTCAAACATCTTAAAACAACCCAGGTCATTTAGATGCATTTTCCCCCACACAGGATCCGTAATGAATGATTAAGTAAAATCTTTTGTGTTAAATGATGATGTTAATAATGCTTGCGTCTCCTGTAATTTATTACGAGTTCTCGACGGCTTCGGGTTTGATTTTGATAGAATGCAGCCACAGCAGCGGAGTTTATGTGATGACTTTATTTTTAGAACTCCTTCTTGGAGGGTGCGCACTTCCTTGCGACTGCTGCTACTGTAATTATGTATAAAACCAATCACTCATTAGAGTTCGGATACATTATCTTCTAGACAGATGAGGCTAAATAAGCACCACATTAATAATTCAGGGAGCGGTTCATTATGCATTGTGGCTGCCTGCTTCATAACTGTACGCACGACAACCCTTAAACAATAGTTCCGTGTTATTGCAGCCACATCCGAGTTTACGCTTGTTAAACTGCTACTTGGATTATTTTATCAAACATTCATTTATTTGTGGTCCCCCCCTTCCTGCCGGGAACAGATTTTTGGAAGCTCCTTTTTTTTTTTTTTAAGTTAATGATTTGAGCAATGGGTGTTATTAATTCTCAGAATATTATCAACATGATTAATTTTCAGGCAGAGATTTACTGCATGAGGATTTCAACTATGTCAACGGAAATGCATCACTGTCAAAATGAGTGTCACGGGCGAAAATGGAACACGCGCCACACTTGAAGGGCCCAGCGCTCAGAACGGAATTGATTTAAATTGCGGCTAAAGCCAAAATTATATTCTCCAGTGAAAAGGACTATGCCGGGCTTCTTCCTTTCTTTCGTGGGAGTCGGTCTTGTTAGATGGTGATTTAGAAAGGGACTGGGAGGAGACCACACGTCCCTCCTTCACAGCACATCTATTCTGCCTTACTTAGACAGGGTTCACCTCCGAGATGCCCACGAGTCCCAGAAGTGGTCACCACCCCTAGCCCCCAAGAGACAACCCACACACCGCAGCCCTGCCTGGCCTGACCAACACCCAGTCCTGAATCATACGCTCACCAGTACAAGCGGCAGCCTACCAGGAGGTTCCCCAAGTTCGCCTACCAAGCCTACTCCTAGACCAGATCTGCGCGCCCTCCCCCTCCCCCCCAGAGTCAGCCTGTGTGTGTGCTGGTGAATGTTGCAATCCAGCTCACCCAACCCAATTCTTGGGTATGCCTGTGGGTGCTACAACCTGGACCAGTCTGGCCCATTCCCAATCCCAGTACCCTTGAAGTGTTGGTGAGTTCCATGGTCATGCCTAACTTAGCCCATCACCACCCCAAGCCCTCAAGCAAACCAGCTGGTATGGCAGTCCCACAGGACTGAGTACATGATCCCCCACAGAATCTGCTCCCAGACCCCAACCCAGTACTCTTGTAAGCTGGTTAGTGTCATGGCCCAGTCTAACATGGTCCATCCTCTGCCCCAACACTGGCAGGTGCTGTAGTTGAGACCTGTCAGACAGGCCCCTCCCAACCATGCTTTTCATGTATGCCAGTAGGCAGTGGTCAATACCAACTAGCCCAGCTCAGGTCTCCCACATGGACAGATGTATGGTCTGGCCCTAAAAGATCCTCCAGTTTCCCTCTGAACTACCCAGTCCTAGGCCCATCATTTACCTGCAAGTGCAGTAGCCTGGTTGATGGAAGTCCCCAGAAGTCATTGTCACCTGTCACATTCTCCCTGAGCAGTCCTCCCTTCCACATCTTCCCAGACCAGCTTCCCTGAGCAATCCATGGCCCCCATGCCTACCACCATACAGATCCCAAAGTCCAGTTCTCTGGCAGTGTGCCATGCCAGTGTGCCTCCCACACAACATTAAAAGAAAATAGAATAGGCAGCTATGCTGGCACACTGTATAGCATTAACCAGGCCCAGAATGCCTGCCTAGGTACTTGCCTACATACAAGGAAACATAAACAGTTGCCTACAGTTGGTGCTAATTGCTTTTTCTTTTTAAGTCATTGTGTCCTGTATGGTGCTCCCTATATACAATCATGGAACACGTTTATTAAGTACACGTTAATAGCTCTACCAGGACTTTCACTCAGCTTCAGGGACACAGAGGACATCTGACAACATCCCTGGCCTCAAGTTGCTGAGAAGCAAGGAAATACAGAGAGCAACATTGTTAGGAAGACGGATCACGCATGTCCAAGGAAAGACCACAAGGCATCACTTGTAACCCGCGTGAGGGACAGACCGTCCACCTGCTGCTGGAGTCCTTAGGAAAAGTAGCTGTGGCCTGGCAAGAACAGGGGATGATGCATGACTAGGGCAGTCGGGGCAGGCGCTGTGGTGTAATGGGTTAGGCCACTACCCACAGTGCCAGGATCACATACAGGTGCTGGTTTAAATCCCAGTTGCTCCACGTCTGATCCAGCTCCCTACTAAAGCACTTGGGAGAGCAGTGGAGGATAGTCAAGTTCTTGTGCCCTTGCACCCATGTGGAAAACCCAGAAGAAGCTCTTGGTTCTTGGCTTCAGATTGGCCCAGCTCTGCCACTTTGGCCGTTTGGAAAGTGAGCCAGCAGAAGGAAGGGTACTGTCTCTGTTTATCTCTCTTTCTCTCTTGCTGACTTTCTTCACACCTCCACCCCCCCCAATCTATAACTGCCTTTCAAAATAATAAAATGAATCTTTTAAAAAAAAAAAAACCTCCCTGTCCCCAGTAATTCCTGCTGAGTCACCCGGAGACTACCGTGCAAGCAGATTTCCCAGGATGTCATTCTCTGAGGATGATGTGACTATACTTTGTGCATCACAGAAAAAAATCACCTGCTCTACTCCAAAGCCTCCTGGGCTGGCAGCACCTTGCGGCACATTTTTGAAGAGGCTCTTGAGTCAGAGGGACATATACTGGCTGCCTTATCTATTTTTTTTTTTATTCTTTCTCTTTTGCACTCAGTAAGCACGGAATGTCTTTTCAGTGTTAGCATCATGCTCAACTTACAGCTTCGCATGCTGAGTAGCACCTGCCCCAGACATGCGAGGGAAGCGGCCAGGAGGTCAGAGTGATAAGAACAAACCGTGGTGAGGCGGGAGAGGGTCAAATAGGGTTTCTCTTAAAGAAGATCCTCCGAGACCAACTATGTGGCACAGCGGGTTTAACCACCACTTGTGGCACTGGCATCCCATATCAGTGTGCCAGTTCAAGTCCCAGCTTCAGATGGAGCTTCTTGCTTACACGCATTGGAAAAAAACAAATCCTTAGCAATCCCTGAGCCCCAGCAACCCATATAGGAGACCCAGATGGAGTTCCTGAGTCTTGACTTTGGTCTGGTCCAGATCAAATAAACCAACAGATAGAAAATCTAACAAAAAAAAAAGTGTGTGTGGGGGGGGAAGGGACCTAGCAGCGTGGCCTAGCGGCTAAAGTCCTCACCCTGAACAAGCCAGGATCTCATTTGGATGCCGGTTCTAATCCCGGCAGCTTCACTTCCCATCCAGCTCCCTGCTTGTGGTCTGGGAAAGCAGTCAAGGACGGCCCAAAGCCGTGGGACCCTACACTCAAATGGGACACCTGGAGGAGGTTCCTGGCTCCTGGTTTCGGATCAGCTCAGCACCGGCCATTGCAGTCACTTGGGGAGTGAATCATCGGACAGAAGATCTTCCTCTCTGTCTCTCCTCCTCTATGTATATCTGACTTTCCAATTAAAATAAATAAATCTTTTTTAAAAATCTCTCTGTGTCTGTCTCTGTCCCTCCCTCTGTTGTTCTGCCTTTGAAATAAACAAATATATATTTTTATATATTTTATATATTTTATTTTTATATATTTTTATATATTTTATATATATTTTTAAAGTTTTTTATTCTATAGCGCTATATATTTTAAAGTTTTCTATTCTATAGCGCTAGGCCCAATGGCTGGGCCTAGCGCTATAGCATAGTGGTTAAGGTCCTCACCTTGCACACGCTGGGATCCCATGTGGGCACTGGTTCTAATCCCGGCGGCCCCGCTTCCCATCCAGCTCCCTGCTTGTGGCCTGGGAAAGCAGATGAGGACGGCCCAAAGCCTTGGCACCCTGAACCCACATGGGAGACCAGACCAGGAAGAGCTCCTGGCTCCTGGCTTCTGATTGGCTCAGCTCCAGCCGTTGCAGTCACTTGGGGAATGAATCATTGGATGGAAGATCTTCCTCTCTGTCTCTCTTCCTCTATGTATATCTGACTTTCCAACTAAAATAAATAAATCTTTTTTAAAAAAAGTTCCAATGGTTACAAATAGGACAACACTAATGGAGGTGCCTAACTCACACTGCATTAGCCAGAGGGGACCTAATGCTTCTGTAGATATGGACTATACTGCTGTTGATGGATGCTTGGATCCTGGCAATGGATGGGCTGTTGATGTGATGCTTGGATGCAGTACTGACATCGGTGTGGAAGGCAAAGGCTGCATGGTAGAGAAGCATGCCACCAGAGGCAGCCAGGAACTCTGTGTGTGTGTGTGTGTGTGTGTGTGTGTGTGTGAGAGAGAGAGAGAGAGAGAGAGAGAGAGAGAGAGAGAAGAGTACAGCGTGCAGGAGAAGGACAGTCACCCTCTATGGGACGCTCAGTCTGCCCTAGCTCCCCTGTGTCTTCTTGGGTGACTACAGGCACGTGTCAAGTCACTGGGACCCCAGTTTTGGATGAACAATCCCTCCCATGTCTTCTCCTGCTCCAAGCCATTGTACAAGTCCAGGCATCTGGTTGCTCAGCCCCTGAGGACCCCCCCCCCTAAATTCCAGAGCTCACTAGGCACCTACCTCCTCTATGTCCTAGGATGGGCTGTGCCCAATAGGCAGTTCAAATTTCCAGGTATGCACAGAAAAATAACACTGATTGTCAACGGCGAATAGCCCAGCTCACACAGGGCAGGATACTCAACGGCCAGGATCCGGTAAGTTATCTGACACTGATGACATTTCCAGTGTTTTTAGGAAGTACATTAACCAAAATACTTAAGAACCTTCAGTAACCAGTCCCTCTGAGAAAGCTCCCACTGAGGGGCAAGCAAGACAGAGAACAGTAGCTTTCCAAAGAGAGGAACTTGTGCCTGACATTTGGCCACCTTAAGAAAGTGGCCTCTATGAAGGGATGACTTTCAACAAGTGCAGTGTGGGGTGGGGTCGGGGGAGTGTCCTCACAGCCCCTTTAAGTGCCTGCTGGGATAACAAAAGCTATCTCTGCTAAATAATGATGACTGGTAGCAATGACAAGTCATGAGGCTGGCACTGACCTTGATTAAATGACCTTGATGAAAATAACAAGTGTACTTCTGTGCTTTCACTATGAAAACACATCCCCCAGCCTCATCCCGGGGGACACATCAGACAAACCCAGACAGAGGAACCTTTGCCCAAACTGCTGGACAGAGTTCCTCAAAGATCCCACAAGCATTCAATACAGGCCAAGCCTGGGAAATGGCCCAGCCCAGGGAAATCAAGAGGTCTTCAGTTGGGGTCTTCAATGGGTTCTCAGAACAGAAACATGGAATGGGGAGAAAGAGATGAAATGTGAATAAAATGTGGATGTAGCAGTGATGTGACAAATTGGCTCCTTTGGTGTGGCATATATGCCCCATGTCCACCCTGGGGACGTAGGTGTGGGGGATAAAGGAGCATCCCATGTGATCAATATGACCTTGCTGTTCATTGCCAACAATTTCAGAGTCAAAAATTTTGGTTTAAATACGTATTAAAGAGTCTGATGGTCAGGAGCTGGCACCATGGTGTAGTAGTTAGGCCTCTGCTTGCAATGCCAGCATCCTGCTGATTCTAGTCTCAGTTGCTCCACTTCCCATCCAGCTCCTTGCTTATGATCTGGGAAGGCAGCAGAGGATGACAGTGCAAGTCCTTGTCCCCTGAACCTACATGTGAGACCCAGAGATGGCCCCAGGTTCCTGGCTTTGGTCTGGTCCATCCCCAGCCATTCAGGCCATTTGGAGAGTGAATCAGCAGATGAAAGATCTCTCTCTCCAGTCTATCTCTACCTATCTAGATCTATCTCCTTCTCTCTATATAAAACTATCTTTCAAATACAAATAAATGTCTTCTTAAAAAGCAAAGAGTCTGACATCCCACTGTGGCCTCTTGCAGTCGCCAGCCACCAGCCGCTACGCAGTGATGACCACTCAACTGAGACACAGCAACCTCTCGCTGATCTTCCCCTACGTTTTTCTCCAGATGTGCAAGGCCCACGGCATTGGCTATGACCTTGAGGTATGATGGGGTATGGTGGTCCAAAACTGGAACAGAGGTCCTGCGGGTGGCTGATCACGTGGTGGTCTTCAAGGCAGATATTCTGCAAGAATTAACCTGCATGCATTACAGCTGAGGTCTGCTCAGAGACAGGCAGAGACGCAGTTCCCCGAGGTGCAGTATTTCTCCCTGGAAGCCCCGTGCATACCCACGCATGTCCTGCCATGTGCCAGTAGCGTAGGGACCACTTGTCAGTCCAGAAACACACCCTGACCTTCCTGAACCCACCCACCACGACTTATTCATGAGTATCTTCAGTCTTGGTCGGACTACACAGCACACCCTGGGTGGCTTAGAACAGCAGAAAGGCATTGGCACATAGCTCTGGATGCTAGGAGGCTCACTGTCAAGACCCAGGCAGACCGTGTTTCCACAGGGATGCTTCCTGGCAGGTAGACCGTTACCTGCTGGCTGTGTCATGAAGTGGCAGGAGAGCTCTGGCTCAGGAGAGATACGGCTCCTAGCACTGAGGTCTGAATGTGTCCACCAAGTCAGATGCTCAGTTCCCATGGTTTTAATGGTCATGGCACTGAATGGGTTGGAAGCTTCATCCAATCACAGGTTAACGATCCAATTGAATCAGATCATTAGGATGGAGTCCCCTGATGGAAACCTTCCAAGGGATCAGATAGTAGAGACACACATCCCACCCCGGTCTCTTGCTGTGTGATGCTCTGGGCCGCTTGCGACTGCCAAGCAAGTGTACTCTCCCCAGAGGCCCAACCTGTGGGCTCTGCTTGATGGTGGGTTGTGAGTCTCCAGGACTGCACATCAGAGTAAATGTGTTTCCTTTATCAAATGAGCCTATCTCCAATTTTCCTTTATAATGAAAAAGATATCCAAACCAATGAATACACTCACTTTACCTCCCAAGGTCCTGACCCCAGCACAATCATGTGGAGAATTGGAACTGCACCCTGTGAATTCAGTGGGGACACAGAAGGAGTTGGGATAACATAGGTTGCCTGCATTTTGAGGGGTGTGGTTGCAGTGATATTGGGGGCCCTGCTCAGCTGCCCCAGAGCAAGCCCAGCACACTGGTCCTTACAGTGACTGCAGCCTCCATTTGTGCCTAGAAACTCGTGTTAGTCCAGAGAAGTCATTCATGCTTTTCCACTTGGGCTGATTTTCTAATCTCTGACAGCCAAGGCCCTGAGTGACCTCCCACCCCACATTACCCTTTTGCCGGTGGCGGATCCACCCTACCTCACCTCAAACGTCACACCAGATGCACCTCCCATGTAAAACACATCATATATGCAAGTCACATAGTTGATCAGTAGCCAGTTAACGGAAGAGTTTTATTTACAGATCTGTAATTCTACGTAGAGGATTTCTAACTTTTTTCACACTTGAGAACCAATACAATTTTTAGGAGTCAAAAAGAAGTTTTTTGAGCAACCAAGAGTCTCCATCGTTTGGCTCATTCCCATAATGCCCACAATGAATGGGCAACCAGGAGCTCCATCTGGGTCTGCCATGCGGGCGGCAGGGAGCCAGGTGGCTTGGGCCATCACCTTTACTACCCAGGGATGTAGGAGGAAGCTGGAGTCAGGAGCTGAAGCCGGGAATTGAATCCAGGTATTCTTATATGGGGGAGTGAGCATCTTGGCCATGAGGCCAAACGCTCACCCCAAAGGGTTAATGCTTCCACCAAAGGAGGAAGGGGCTGCTGTTATGCCATTGTATGGAGCTGCTAGCTGCAGCACCAGCATCCCACAAGGGTGCCAATTCAAGTCCCAACTGCTCCACTTTCAATGCAGCGGCTGCTAGTGGCCTGGGAAAACAGCAGAAGATGGCCCAAAGACTCAGATCGCTGCTACCCTTCTGAGAGATCCAGAGGAAGCTCTTGGCTCCTGCCTGGACTGGGTCATGACAGCCACCTGCAGAATGAAACCTTCTTCCAGTGTAACTCTGACTTTCAACTTGATTAATTTAAGAAGAAGAGAAGAGGTTAGTAACCAGAAAGGCACCAGGGCCCATAAAGTGAGGTACGAAACGCAAGTAAGAGGAGGGAAGACAGAGTCGCAGCACCCTGAGAGGGAGAAGCAGCTTGGAAATTCCAACATCCTACAGCAACGTCCAGGGACAAGGTGGCAACCTTCCAGACCCAGGATCCACGCCTGGTCAGGACTGCCCGCTTGCTCTATTCCACGGAGATGCCAGTGCTGACCCAGTGCCGATAGAGCACCTCTAGTGTGCTGGCCACAGAGCTGAGGGCTTGGAGCTCGTAGCTGCATTTCTGCTCTGTGTCCCGTCAGAAGCTGATATCCCCAGCCTGTATGTTTCAGGCTGTCCCATGGACACACAGCCAGTGGACCTGACATCTGAACCCGTGAATGTGCTCAAGGTCAAGTGGGGTCTTCTCTTTTTCTCCAAGGAGTCCCTATTTCCCACTTACTGTGGGATTAACACAGCACCTAGAATGCTACTGTCAATTTCAAATGAGGCACTCAGCTCCAAGAACGTCTCAGCATGTCCCATGGGAGAATAGCACAGACAGCTCCTCCCAGCCCCTACGACCATCTCCACATAACAAAACAGGGGAAGATATTTAACAGCAAACATCCCTAAGATTTCATTGTCTCTTTGGGTTATACTCAGTCTAAAACACACGGTATTTACCCAAGAGCCAGCACATTTACTCACTCCCTCTTCTGCTGGCTGAACATAAAGTGGATACTGACATGAGCATTGGACCTAACCATTACACTACGTTAGAGTTCCTGGTCTGGGTTCAAGTTCTAGCTCTGCTCCTCATTCCAGCTTCCTACAACTACAGCCCCTGGAAGGCAGCAGGGGGGTGGCTGAAGTGGTTGGGTTACTGCTTCTCACATGGGAAATCTAGATTGGGTCCTCAGCTCCCAGCTTCAGCTGGGCCCGGGTCCAGCTATCAAAAGCATGTGGGAAGTGAACCAGCAGTGTGAGATCTGTTGGTCCCTCTCTGCTCATCAAATAAATAAACTTTAAAAATGCTTTATAAGGTGAATGCTCTCTCTAGAAAATACAGAAAGTGGTATTCACCATTACACTACTTCATCCCAAACCATCCCTATTATCAACATTGCTGTTCTTACCATTATTAGCACAGATTTTTCAAACCTTTCTTGTCTAACTTCTCGGGGGGGGGGGGTAGGTCAAAGAAAATTCAATCCCCACCCCTGTGATTTTATTTTTCCTTGATGAACATTGGAAGCCGGATGGCTGGGTTTATAAGCAACTTGTTGGATCCCATCCCTGATACTTCTGTAATGCTACAGGATACCTCCACTGATTTCCTAATGAATTAAAGTTGTAATGGAAGCCATTTGGAGAAAAGCAACCTGTTTACTGCCTGTGACATTGGGAGCACAGGACTGTTCTCACACACACACAAGCAGTGGGCCCTGGTCCTGAACAGCTCCACAACCACCAGCAGCCATTTCCTGAGCCCAGGGTCCAGCCGCCGTGGGCAGCACAAGGTTGCTTGCGAGCAAGTGTTCCTATTCACGTCCTCCCAAGAGCATCACAGTATCCCACTTCTGCAACCCTCCTCCTGGACTTGAGCATGATCACGGAGCCTGCTTCAAGCCAATAAGAGATGAGCCAAAGGGGTGTGAGTCCTTTCCATGCAAAAGCCTACACAGAAGAGCCACTTGCATGAGTGGCTGCCTAGGAAAATCTCTGGAGGACACAGCCAGAGCCGCCCTGCAGCATGGACCCTTGGGTGAATCAGATGTCCAGAGACCCATGCAGTTCCACCCCAGAGAAGTGAAGCGTGGACAGGAAATGCAGCTCCTAGTTTCAATAGACAACCAATAACTGTTTGATACTTTCTAGGCACAGCTGATCACGGAAAATGGCCTCCGAAGAAGGGTGTTTCCCAGACAGAAATCTACAATATTGGTGTTTGACTTAGTAGTTAGGCAGTGAGTGGCAAGGACCCAGATGGTGCTCCTGGCTCCTGATTTCAACTCGACCCAGCCCTGGCTGTTGTGGCCATTCGAGGGAGTGAACAGCTAATAGAACTTTCCATCTGTCTGTCAGTATTTTTTTTTGTCAGTCTGACTTTACAAATAAATCTGAAAAAAAATATAATAAAGGTGTTATTGAACTCAGAGAAATCTAAGCAGATATTATGTTCAGTTCAAAAGAGATCCCAGTGGTAGATATTTTCCAGAGATAAGGAAAATCTTGAAGTGAATATGCAAATGGAGGAAAAGCAAATTGTTCTACCAGGGGGAGCCAGAGGTAAACCAATTCAGCTTGGGGCCTGGCGCATGGCCTAGCAGCTAAAGTCCTCACCTTGAACAAGCCAAGATCCCATTTGGACGCCGGTTCTAATCCCGGCAGCTTCACTTCCCATCCAGCTCCCTGCTTGTGGCCTGGGAGGGCAGTCGGGAACGGCCCAAAGCCTTGGCAGCCTGTACCCACGTGGAACTCCCGGAAGAGCTCCTGGCTCCTGGCTTCAGATTGGCTCAGCTCCGACCTTTGCAGCCACTTGGGGAGTGAATCATCGGACAGAAGATCTTCCTCTCTGTCTCTCTTCCTCTATGTATATCTGCCTTTCTAATAAAAATGAATAAATCTTAAAAATTTTCGACTTGTACCAGCCTGGCTAGGATTTGTTCATCAGCCCCTTTCTCTAGGTAGAATCAAGCTGCTCAGGCAATAGGGCACTATAGACAACCCAGTTCTCCCCCAACGCATGGCTTGTATTCCATGCATCAAATGGTCTCCCTTTTTGTACCCATTGGACTTAGAAAAGCAACATTCAAATTCTGACATGCAGGAAGCTCACTCAGGCCACGGGCTAGAAGGCGCCTTCCATTCCCAGGACCCTGAGCTGGGCTGATGCCCATGAAGTGCCTTGCTCATGGCCACTTGCTACAGGAACCTGGCGCAGGTGTTCTGAGCTTTACTCCCAACACGCTGGCCCAGGCCAAACCTCTTGCATATCTGATGGGGATCAGCCTTTCAAA